GACCTCGTGTTCAAACTCTGACGTGCGGCTGTGATTTATAAAGGAAATATGCGCAGAAACATGCGTACGTACAGTTTTATAAATCTGAAAAAAAAATTGGCGTACGCCAAACGTTCACTTTTAGTGGTTTCCACGCAATCCTTTATAAATGAGACCCATTTTAAAAACAAACATACATCGACGCTTCAGATCTGGAGTAGATTATTCTATGCCAATGGCAGAATATTTCAAACCTCGTTTGAGATTTGCGAAATCTTTATCTGAATTGTGAAACTTCAGTAATGAGAGATTTAAAAACCTTTTTTCATCTGGAATACTGGAATCCATTAGAAATGAATTATCATATTTGCAATATTTGCTATTATTTTAACCTGTTTTCTTTCAGGTTTTGTCCTAGAGCACCTGCCTTTTTGTTTGGGTGTTGTGTTTTACAGGGATGCATCAGCTGGGATAATAATGCCAACAACTTTTAAGATTCCAATTTTGTCATCATGCAACATGAGATGAATAATGTATTCCATGTCAGAAATGTCTTAAGTATGTTAGCTTTAAAAGTAGAATAAATTAAAGATGCTACTACCCATTGTCCTTAATTGGTCACATAAATATTATAAAAATGACAATATTTCAAAAATTCTACTGGCATAATAAATAACCGTAGTGGAATTGTTGATTGTTGAGCTCTACGCTATAATGAAACTGTCAAACCTAAATACAGAGCTTTTATGTCTAAAAAACTAGGCTATTTAATTGTATTTAAAAGTATTTATGTATGTGTGTATGCATATGTGTGTACGGGTGTGAATTTGCACACTCATGCACACCATTAATGTGTGTTTTAATAAATTCCCTCTGAATATCATTGGTGACCACACTTCAGTCCGGTAGATGGCGGTAAATGCACTTTAAGTTGATTGCCATCCTCCAAAAAGACACAAAAGAAGAAGACGATGGTTGCGGTAATCTGGCGGTAATGTGCTCGGGCCCACAGGGAAGACAACGTTACCCTGCTAACCTTGGATAGCCTACATCTCATGAAGAATTGCTATAATTATGGACAGTCCTTTGCTACGTTTCCTGCGAAACCGCGGCGTACCAGAAGAGTGCCTCTCGCGCATGGAAGAGGAGCATGTAAGTATACATGCATACTATTAACTAGTACTTTATCACTCATTAGCATGATAAGGCTCGTTCTTTCGTTTTGGCTAGCCTACGTTTAACTTAATATTTTACTTATAAGATGAAGACTCAAACTAAGCCAATGTCAATTTCTTTCTTTAACATAATAATTGTTTCATATTCACTTTAATTATTACACGAAGCTGACCTTAGCTTCCGATTGTTTCTTCCTGTTCGGAAAATTACTAATGGGCGAATCCACCTACTACAGGTCCTTATCAAAACATTAGCATATTGTGATAAAGTTCATTATTTTCCATAATGCAATGATAAAAATTTAACTGTCATATTTTAGATTCATTGCACACCAACTGAAATATTTCAGGTGTTTTATTGTTTTAATAATGATGATTTTGACACACACACACACACACACACACACACACACACACACACACACACACACACACACACACACACACACA